CTGTGTAGGTGGAGAGATCAAAAGGCCTGGGTTCATATTAGAAAATGTGTCATTTGGCTTGTACATTTATTTTTGGACCGGTAAGGGGATCACAACCCTCTGCACGGGGTGGTCTGCACCATGCTCAGCCAGTGAGTGCACCAGCCGTCCCTATATAGGATCCGAATCCGTGGCCTCGGCGCTCCCAGCACCGCACTCACCCGAGTGAGCCACGGGGCCAACCCTGTACATTTTAAGAATGCTTCATAGCATGCACATATCCATTAGGGTATTGAGTATGACAACTGTGAAAAATGGATGGCAGGCCTTCAGGGAGTTTTCTCTCTGATGTTCCCTGCTTAAGAACAGTGATACTTGACAAAATTGTGATAGTCTCTGTGTGCCTACCCTGTGTTGCTAAAATGACTCTGGAGATGTAATCATGCTTTCTTTACAGCTCCTTTTCCCAGCAGCAGTTTGCCCACCAGGGGAATCCTGCAGCATATAGTATGGTGCACATGAATGGTAGCAGTGGTCACATGGGACAGATGAACATGAACTCTATGCCCATGTCTGGCATGCCCATGGGTCCTGATCAGGTATGGGGATCTATTCCTTTCCTTTTTCAAAAAGTTTTTCTCGTTCTGTGGGGAAAACCAAAGCCTCAACTGTAATCTAAAGGTCCTAGGTAAATTTTAACTTGGATATATAATTAAAAAATATAGTAATTGAAAAAACTTGGTTTGAAGGCATTGGGCCATTTGATACTTTTGGTAATATGGGATCTAAGGAATCTGAATCCATCAGCCAGAGCTACATTGCAAGCCATGAGTGTAGACAGGTATTTTTTTGTGTTGTCCTTGTACAAAGCACATGTTTTACTCATGTTTTTTTTCTGGTTGCTAACAGAAATACTGCTGACGTCTCTATACCAGGACCTCTCTAAGGAAATCACTGTACAAATGACACTGCACTAGAATTTTTGGAAAGTAAAGAATCATTGTTCTAGGCATCCAGCTTTGAAGAAAGGACCAGCTTCAATCTCTGTCAAGGGTATTCCAAGTCTTTTGAACAGGACTGGGTTAAGCTGAAGCGCAATATCTACCTGTTTTTTTCCCCTACTTCTGTGTATCATGGTGTTCTGAACAGTTCAAAAATATTTTTGGTATTCCACTTCCTAGGAATGTGATTTTGGAGATATGGAGTGTTACCAATCACAAAACTCTCCTGTGTCACTTTTTTCTGCCTTACTAGCCAAAGTCTTTCAAATAAATGTAGGTGGGACAGAGAACATTGAAGAAATCAAGAGATTAGAATGTCTGGTTTCTCTAGTTGCAGTATTGGACAAAGAACATAGTCCTACCCTTCAGATGTTTTTGTCATGACCAAGTAGTTCTTGACCCTTTGTCTAGTGGAATTGGCATTTCTGAGTTCTTGTCCTTTATTGATGGTGTTGAGTTGCTCTCTCCCTATTCTTTGCTGTCCTAAGCTTTCTCCTAATGGAGGTTTTCACTTGTCCTTAATATCCTGTAATACTTCACCTCCAGGAATTGTCATTGATGTCAAATAGCTTTGCAGAAGGGAAAATGAGATGACAGTATTTAATTGCAGCAGTAGCAAATTTTTCACATGCTTATGTGCAGCCGAGTGCACTTTATTTAAAAAGTAATGGATAAATGCAATATTCTTGAGGTCTTGAGGAATAGTGAATCACATTCCTGGTTTTTGTCTACAGGACAAGAACTAATATTTTTTTTTAAGTACAATTGTCACCCTTTGCCTATATGGTAGAGCAATAATGCTTTTTGAAAATAAACTTCTGAAAACCCAAGGCCAGGTACTGCATTCTGAATCAGAATTTTGCAGTGTTTCTGTGAATATTTTTTTTTGTAAATAGGACCTTTAAGATATCGTATTATGTAAAATATGTATATACCTTTTTTGTAGGTCACGACAGCTCATTTTTACAGAGTTTGTGAAGCTAAATATTTAACACTGTTGATTTCAGTAAGCTCATTGTGGTGAGGCTACAAACAGAAGAGACATCCCCTGAATTCCATGGCCTGGGGGAGGGACAGTGGTCCATAGCTTTTTCTCCCTCCCAGCCTTAGATGCCTCACTCTTTTCAATCTCGTAATCTAAATGCTTTTAAAAGAGATCATTTGTTTAGATGTAGGCATTTAAAATTTTTTTTTTAGTTTCTCTATCAGAACTAAGCACTTTGTTAATTTGGGGGGAAAGAATAGATAATGGGGAAGTAAACTTTAAAAAACAAAAAAACAAAAAAAGGATATGAGGAATTAAAAAAAAATCTTTTGGATTTGAAGCAGTCCGTAAATTAAACAGTAGCAATTCATGATTTGTTTTGTTTTGTTTTGTACTTAAATTATGTTGCCTTTTCATCCATTTACGAGTGCTCCAAGAGTTTGGTTGCTAGGACCTGAATTCACATTGAGATCCCAGTAGAGTCTTTGGTGTGTGGTTTCTGGTGTCTGCTCAGCAGTCTTGTCATTCTGCTAATGAGATGTTTTCACTATGTCCCCAGGAATTAGAATTAGTGTCATTGTTAGTTCTTAAGGAGCTTGGTACCCAGAACAGCCAATTTTGCTGTGGTTCAGAGCTATAGCCTGAGCGTGCCTTTGCACCTCCTCCTCCTCCTGTCTAGTGCCTCTTTCTGCTGTTACCCCTCCTTGACACCTGTTCTAGACAGTTGGGAGTAGGGGGAAAAAAATCAAATTTAATACCCTTTATCTGGGTTACATTATTAGATTGAAACAGCTGAATGAAATTGGATTTTTGGAATATCTGAATTTCAAATGTCTCTGCTAGCCTTGGTGTCATTTTCTAGCAAAAACTGGGAGTTGTTACTTTTTTAAAAATTTCACATTTAGCCAATCTTTCTAGATGTCTCTGAAGGTAAAGTCATTTAATTTTTTTGACATGCTTATGAATAAGTGAAGCCAGATATTTCCAGAACCACCACTAGAGTAGATTTTATTTTCCCAACAGTGTGTAGACAGTTTTGAGTTTGCTCCTCTTACTCCACCCTCTTCACACCTGCCCCCCTAGGTTCAAAATATATCTAGGATCGTAAATCCGTAAATTTCCATCATAGTAGTGTGTACTTTTCAGATAGCGTAGTCTGTTTGGAGACAGGCACAGCTGAGTAAGTCTCTGTCTTTTTTGACTCAGTTGTGTCAGGTGTGCCTGAGCCTTCCCTATTTAAGTTGAGTGTGGGGAGAAACAGAATGGTGCTCTTACCTTTCTTGACTTTTAAAAATTATTAGAAAAACAAAAAAGCAAACTTTTGTGATTCTTTCCTCAATCCTGACTCCAGGCTAACTGGAAGGCAGCACCCCTTTTTATATGGGAAAAAAATGAACTTTTATTATTATAAGTTTTTATATTTTCTACTTGTTCCTTTTATTGGTGCAAACTCAAGATTTTGATTTTCTTTTAATAGATGCAGTCTTTGAGGTAATTTGTTGTTTTTACCTTTATTGGCCTTTTCCCCCCCTCTTTTTTTCTTTTTTTGGATAATTACCTTTGTATTTCCACTGCCTACCTCTCCTCACACTCACCCATCCCCCTATTTTTTAAACTTTGGTATCTGTTGGGTGAATAGTGTAAGTAAACTTTTCATCTGCTTTTAGAATGTGGGATATTTCCAGTACCTACTTTTTTGCTGAATCCAAAGATATATAAATATAAAAATATATATTTTATAAAGATCAAAATCATATAAAGGAGATACATGTTTCTTCCTTTAAAAAATAAATAGAAGTTGCATCATTGATATTCATATTATGATGCCACTTTTCTAAATTGTGCATTGGGATCTAAAGGTGTAAATATCGATACTTATCTTAGTTTATCAGTATTTAATATCTAAGGTGAGTTGGGGGTTTAGAAATGTGGGATACTACAGAAGATAATTGGCTTGATGTCTTAGAAGTTTTTGATCCAAAGGTAGATGCAGCTGGAAAATAAACTGAATGGATTGCCAGTTATTCATATGCCTATCCAGTTCCCTTTTTATTTGCAGAAGCCATGAGTTTTGTTCACAAGTAGGGAATTCATAGGAGCAAAATCTCTAGGATAGATGAAATTTTCCCCCTGCTACAAAGGAACAAGGGTTGTTTTCAACTCTAAGGTAAACTATTTAATAACAAGCAGAGTGTTCTCTTTTTCTTTCCTCCTTTCTCTTTTTCTCCAATATTATAGAATTTTGAAGAAGGTGGAAATGTCATTCTGAGAGCAATATTTAAATTCTCAGGAATTGACGTATAGTATTGAGAATAAATTCAATTTCAATCAAGTTTACATTAAATGTTGCTTAAAAAAATTAAATCATTCTTTACACTGTAAAGAATTGAAACCACATGAGATGACGTGAGATGGGGTGGTGAGCTGTGACTATTTTGCTGACCATGCTGGATGTCATTGTAAATAAAGGTTTCTATTTAAAATTGGAGCCTAAAGAACTTAAAAAAAAAAAAAATCCCTATTGGATTAAGGGTAAAAGAGAAGGTTAAGAAAGTCTATTTCAAATAATGATATCAGTTTCTGTGAAGTTAAAAGAAAACTACAACTTTTGCTAGGGAGCCTTGGCCTATTTGGGGCATTGAAAAGCATGACTCTGTTTTTACAAAATGCAGGAGCCTAGGGGCCTTCTCTGTTATCTGTTAAATGAGAAATGGGTTGGACTGGTGGTGGCTGAAGTCCCACCTACTTCCCCCGCTCTGGAATTCTGACAGCTACCTGCACCTGCTTACACCGGTACATGAAGGGTTGGCTAAGGTGAACTGGTTTGCACTTGATCAGTAGTTTGGAAAAATGAAGTCTCAGAGCTGGTGTAATATGAGACTTACATGTGAGGTCTCTTGAAGTATGGTAAGTTTTGGTCATTAACCTACAACCATCTACTCCAAAAATCCTCTGAACCCAAGGCATGTCTTCCCAAAAAGGTGTTGACTGGTAGTATCTTGAATTCATTTTTAAAAAACCAAACACCAAAAAACTCCCAAGAATGGCCTTTTACAAAATGTCAAAGGTTTTTTTCATACCAATTGCTGGTCACTGGCTGTGGTTTTGAACATCGTATGACAATACTTATACTACAAAATTTCTTTACAAATACAGTTTCATTAACAAAAAACTCCCAAGAATGGCCTTTTACAAAATGTCAAAGGTTTTTTTCATACCAATTGCTGGTCACTGGCTGTGGTTTTTGAACATCGTATGACAATACTTATACTACAAAATTTCTTTACAAATACAGTTTCATTAAAACTTGGGACATACATCAACTTCATTTCTTTTCAGTACCTTAAAAAAAAATCGTCAGTCTTGGGGTAGATAACAAAGGGAGAACTGATATCTAGGCAGGAACAGAAATGTTCACAACTGCAAGGGATTTTCTTTTACACTGGCCACTGAGCGTTTATTGACACCACCACTCTTGAAAATTGGGATTTCTTATTAGTCAGATGCCCCTAAAGTTCCCATGTTGGTTACATGTAAATAGTCACATATATACAGTGAAGTCAGTTTCTTCAGAGGCAACCAGGGCTATAGTGTTAGGTAAATGTCACTTCTTTTGTGCTATTGACTCACTGTCAAACTCTGGGCACTGTTTTCAGCCTCTCCAAGTTGCCTCTGTCTTGCTTCTTAGTTCCTTCTTTGTGATGAACCAAAAGAAATGAGGATTTAAAACAGGGTTGTTTTCCCCTATGATTTTAAAAAATTCCAGTGACTTTCACTCTTGGGGGAGATTTCTAAGAAAATCTTTCTGTTCTTTTTCCCATGTGAACCTCTCAGGGAGGGTTAGTGGTGACTATTTGATATGAAAATGCATTTTGTGCAGCTGGTGAGGTATAATCCAAAGCAAAAGCAGGGGCAAAAATGGACTTCCTGAAGTTCTCTCTGCTCTGATGGTTATCCTCCAGAATTTTCCGGTTGACTGAAGCAAGTTCTGTCTCTTTCAGGCCTCCTGGCCTACAGCCTAGGTCTGCTGGAAATCACATTTGGTTCTTCACTGCCTGCACAGTCAGGTGGTAACTCTGTTTTTGGAGGTCCACCTCTGTTGCTTCTTAACCTTCCCAGCCTTCCCATAGTTGTCCCCTACAGAACAAAACAAACTAATCTTAGCATTTGATTATTGTGCTGCTTAGGATTTCTTAATCAGTCCTACAACTGAGTAAGCTTTGCTTCAGGGATGTGGCTGCTGAGAGGGAATATTTCTAGGTCACTTAGAAAGGGATTGCTATCACTTAATCATTTCAGTTTTTCAGTTGCTCACTTACACATTCAATGGCAGGCAAAGATGACATTTAAGGATTGGGGTAGAACATGAGGGTATTTCAAAAAAGTTCATGGAAAGATTTGTATTATCTTTCAACTCTATTTTTTCCACGAACTTTTTGGAGTACCTTTGTAGTGGCTAAGGAGAATGTGAGATGTAGAGATTCTATGCCTTAGTTCTGGAATTAACAAATGCTAAGCTGGTCTATTGTTATTGTCCTGTTAAAGCCACATAGGTTTATATGCATATAAAGAAAGAAATGAGGAGCCCAGAGATTGCAAATGGCAGCCAGAGGGTCTTGTTTGTCAAATTAGTTGCCAGTGTTAAAAAAGAATTCTCACACATATCTGCATTTTTGGATTTCTTCGAAGAATGAGATCTGGCAAACTACATCCCATTCCTACAGGGAATAAACTAGCTGTTCCCTTTAGACTAAAGGTGAACTTTCAGGTTGCCACATTCTCCAGTTAGCCTGCTGTCAGTCTGTATTGGCACTGGAATGAGAGTTCATAGCATGGGCTTTTTGGAAATCACTTAATGAAGCCACTCTACTGCTGACATTGTGGACCAGTTAGCACTTCTGTAGCCACAGCCTTCAAGATATCTGGCAATTGTACTTTTAAATGGTTTTCAACCTCTAAGTAGTAGCTCAAGTTTATCAAGCACAGATTATTGTAGAGACAACAATGGTGTACTGGACAAGATATTCATCTAGAACATGAAATGTATTCAGGTAGGTTATCTTACAGGAAAGACTCACATTACTGCTTCCCCTCTCATTATGGGACCAAAGGAGGATAGTAAATGAGAAATGGCATGCACATAGAACAGCCTTGGCAGAATGAAGCAAGTCAGAACCAGATCTCTGTTCATAAGCGGGTTCCTCAACTCACAGTGATTTGGAAGAAGGTCTCTTCATTTCTGGCCACTTTCGACGCTGAAACTGCCTAAGTTTTCAGGTGTCAAAAGGAGAATGAGTGTTAACCATCACCAAGAAAGAAAAAGTCATCCTCAAAGAACTATACAAAGATAGTCTCCTAGGTGACACCCATCACTGGGGGATGATCCAGGCCCCTGGCAGGCCAGAGAAAGGGCATTCTTGGAACATAACAGGTGCACCCGCACGGAGATGAGACTAAAGGATGGGCCAAGATAGGGGAACTTCCCTCAGGCTCTAATAACAAAACGGAGTACCTGTACTGCTCATAGCTTCCTCCATCTTTAAGTCCTAATGAGGGAGAAATGAACAAAGTAAGAACAGACAGTTTAGGGCAAAAGTGGCAAACTTTATAATTGCTTTATAAAAAAAAAAAAAAACCCAGGAAAACCCATCTTAGGCTTTTTGTCAGAATCCCATGATGTTGATAGTGTTCCCTAGTCAGAGTGGGCTGAATTATGAGGTGAACTTGCCCTAAGTCTCCTAGGTAGCCTTGTAGATGGCCCATAATCCACTGTCACCATGTCAGTCTTAGGACCCTGATGCCTTAGGCATGGTGGGGGAGGTGGACACAGGCATGAACACCTGTGTCATAGAGGACAGAAAGCCAGGGGCCCTGAGAAAGGTGGGGTGGGAGGGAGGTCTCGGGAGGTTTCCTGAGGATATGGTAGTGACATCAAGTTTTGGAGTCAGCCCACCAGTTCATCCTGGTTCACTTTACTTGCCCATTAAAATGAAGATAGGAAGATGTGCCTTGGATGGTTTTCATAAGGATTATCAGCTAATGCACGTAAAACACTCAGCACAGTGCCTGGCACATAGTGATTAATGCACGGTGGCACTTTGATCATTAGTGGATGTTAGGAAGCCATTGGTGGGAATGCAGATATCAGGCCCCTTATCAGGCAGCATTATTGCCACATCTTCTATAAACACATTTGCTCTCCTTTCCTCATAGCCACAGCTGACTGTAGTATCTGCCGTCTTCCTCCTAAGTGTGCAGCCATTTTCCTGACGTGAACTTTAGGTGTCTTACTAGACATAGGTAAGAACTCCTCAAGGGCCTGCAAATACCAAAGGTTTTTAGGCTGCTCTCTCTCTGCCTTTTGTTTTGGCTAGTACATGAATGGCTTCCTTTTAGCTTTTTCATCTTAAACTATCTAATTGGCATACTAAATTTAGAATTGTTGGTTTTGTCTCACCCCCCCACAAAGCCAAAGTGTTCTCTATGACTCCTGATTTTCTGGTACTACCCCGCCCCCACATCATCATGTGCTGCAGGCTTCACCACCTGAACCTTAATTCCATCATCTTCTCTGCTCCTACTCCTAGTCCCAGCACCACCATCTCTCCCTGGGTAACAACCACTCTTCACTGTTCTCCCTATAAAATCCTATCCTCCACTTAGCAAAGTGAAGGTCCTTTTTAAATGTAGCTGTTTCAGTGCCCAGGTTAAAACCCTCTGTTGGCTTCCTGATACACCTAGAAGGAAATCTAAACTCTCTACCGAGGTCTATAAAGCCCCCAACAGGATGGCCCTCTGACACCTTCCTGTCACTCTCCACTGCTTTCACTTGCTCTGCCTTCTGCCATGCTGGGCTGCTTTCTGCTGGTCACACCTCAGAGTTTGTTTCCCTCTCAAATCTCCTCGGGTGCCAGCCTCCAAGTTTCCTGAGAGGTTGGCCGCTTCTCATTCTTCAGGGCTAAGTTCAAAGGTTTGACCTGTGCTCTTTCTGGGGTGCTCCCTGCCATGGTCACACTGTGTTACAGCATCCTCTTTGACTCCCTCCGTACAAGCCAGAGGATGGCTGTCCCTAGTAGACTGTCAGCTCCACGTGGGGTCAGGGGGTATGGTCATTTTCTTGCTTTCCAGTAACTGGCACAGTCCAGGTTTAAATTCTCAGTAAATGTGGAATGAATAAATGAGTGAATGAACAAAAGGGAGGAAAATGAGAGAGAGTGCCAATGTGTTTCCTCTGCGGATGCTCCTCTCTCAGGAAGCACAATTAATTGAAAGCCACCTGCCTGCCATGGGCAGGGGACATCCACACCCTCTAGATGATTTGTCTTGAATTGTATCTCCCCCTCCTCCTAATTCCAGTGATTCTGGGCTCACTCTTGGGGTAGACATGACCTCCTAAGTTCCTTCGTCTGGTTACCCCGCCCTCCACATGCCCCATGTTCAGGCCTACTCACCCAGGTCCATGTTTCGAGTCCGGGGGTTACACTGCTTGTAACCCTTGCAGCTCCTCAGCTCCATGAGCTGTACGTGTAGCTGATTGAGGACATCCCTGTCCAGTGTGTTCACTGCATTCATCAGCTGGTTGGAAAAAAGGTCCACAAGGTGAGTAAGGGACACCCCTGTCTCCATTCCTCTTCAAACGAGGGGACTTATTTCAAACAGGTTGGAAGTGGAAGGTGCTGTGGCATGGTGTCCTGCTCACCCCAATCTCCACTTCTGCAAGAGCGACTTTGCCTTCTAGTCCCACCAAGTCCTCTCTTAATGAGAATGAAAACTCATGAGAATAAAAATCACGTGTGTACTTAATGTTCAACTTCTGGAGCCACTGGTCAGGAAACTTACCAAGCTTGGAAAGAAGCCCTTCCAAGCCTTGGATTTGTCAGCAGCCTTCATTCGCAGTCCCTCAGTTCCTTCTTGATTGGAAAGCAGCCATTTGGTGAGAGGATGGGTAAGTGACCTGGATCCTTGCCTACCTAGTCTGGGAGCTTCTAGTGTCTGACTAACCTACATCTTCTGCCACTCCCTTTTGTAAATTATGGGGTGAATCTATCTCAGGAGGAAGACTGGCAGCCTGCATGGTAATTAAAGCAAAGCAGTTGAGCTGCGGATATTTAAAAATCAACCTTAAAAGGTTGAAGGTTGGTCTATACCAAGGCCACACTACACAAAAGTTCTAGGGCTGAAGCTCAGTAGTGACTGTCCCTTTACAAGGGCTCACATGTTCCAACTACCAGACACTCGGCTGCTCCCTTTCACCCATCACATTATGTGTTTGGATGACTTAATACATGGAATACTTAAAGTGCCTGGCATATAGTAAATGCTGGGTGAGCAATACTTATTGTTACATTAGTTGTGGGGTCCCTGTAGCCCCCAGAATGGGCATTATTTAGCCTGACCCTGTAGTTCTAAACTAGTTCCTGTAGAGCCTATTTGAAGGCTGGCAGATGCCTCAGAGGGAAGAAGCTATACAATGTATTACTGATGCAGGAAGGTGGAGGCAGAAAAGGGCTGATTGAACATTGCGTCATTGAAGATTCTCGGTGGCTTCGTATCTCACTCATACTGTCTGAAGGACTCAGTGGGACTTGGAAAATTTGTCATCACTTCCCCAGGGTTGGGGGCCTGACTGGCAGCACCTGTGTACCCACACCCCCATTTCTCCAGCTTGTGCTGTCTGTACCTGGTATGGGTCTGTGTTGAGATCAAAGTACTCTAGGAAGCCAGTTGCAAATTCACAGAAGAGGAAATTGTGGGTCTCGTTGATTGTCCTCATGCACCAGTACGTGTTATTGTTGGCGCTGGTACAGGCACAGAAAGGCCCCACTGCCAAGGGAAGAGAGAGAGTACTTGAGTGCCTGTAGGAAGAAGCCCAGCCTGCCAACACTGCTGTCAGGGACAGCACCCCAGGGCCAGTTCCTTTGATGCCAAGTGACAGTCTGGAGCACTTGTGGACCCCTGATGTCAGGCAACCTGCTTCTGAGAGACCTAAAGACTGGCAACGAAGTCCCCACAAACTTGGGGAAGGTGGGTCACTGTGTGAAGTGGAGAAGTCCCTCTGGGCCCCAGCCTGCCCGTCCCTGCTCTGGGCTCGCTCACATGTCCAGAGAGGTGCCGTCTGCCAGTGCTGGTTGTCGTGGGTGAAGCACGTGAGGCCGGGCATGCTGCACGTGTCGTTGTTCTGCAGTCGCTTGAGCAGCTTGCGAAGTTTCTTCTTGCGCTTCTGCTCCCGCAACAGCCACACCTTGTCCTTCTCCTGCAGACCCTTCCTATGGGCATGCAGGGCCACACACACATTGGGCCTCCAAGGGATCATGACCCTGAGCCTCCGCTCTTCCTGTCCATCCTAGAGGCTGGGCTGAGACTTCCCCAGCAGAGAACCATGGGCATGGCAATTGAGGATCCCAAGTCCCACTGCTGGTCCAAGGCAGCGCTGGGACCAGAACCCGGGTCTTCTCCCACCCTGTAGCCTACTTTAGCTCCCAAGGCAGCACAAAGGGAGGTGGCACTTAGACTCCTGTTCACACCTCGATCCCCTCCCTGCTTGGTGGGGTTGCAGCAATCCCATGTAGCCATCAGCGGGCATGTGGAGACCTGCTCAGTGTTGATTTGGGAGGAAGACCTCTGTAAGGAGGCTTCCCAGGGAAAGGCTAGGATTTCTTTCCTTTCCTTGTTTGTTTGTTCTTCCCCTAGGCTGAAAGCTGCCCTTACCTGAAAGGATGCAGACTGGAGCCTTTGTGCTTGAGGCGGCCTTTGTGCTGGGTTTGGTAACTGAAACAGACCCCCCCACCCCAGGTTTCAGAAACAGCTTACAGGGCTACTCTGGCAGGTGCAAATAAGGTTCCTGGGACTCCCATATGTTGCTGCTGCCCCACCCCTGTCCCTCTTGGGGTAGTGGTGGTATGGGTACTGTCCCCACAGCAGTAGCTCTCTGCCTGGCTGGCTCAGTTCTCTAAGCCTGAGCTGGGAGCCCCCTGGCTAAAGACCTCAGTCCATTAGAAGGTTGGGGCAGGTGGAATTTAGCCAAGATGAGAAGCTGGGCCTGGCTTCAGGTGGCTTCAGCCTCTGCACCTCAAGGTTGGTTCCCCCATCATCTGCTCACCTCATGCTTGGTCAGGGCCAGCACTGGGGGAACCAACGTTTTGCAAGCCTTTCTGGGAAGGTAGAAGAAAATCTACTGCTGTGCTGCCCAGTACAGTAGCCACTAGCCATATGTGGCTATTTCACTTAAGTAAGTTTAAAAATTCAGCCCCATTAGTTACACTAGCCACATTTCAAGTGCACAATAGCTACACTGGTTAGTGGCTACCATATTGGATAGTGCAGATACAGCCCATTTCTATCAGCATGGAAAGTCCCATTAGACAGTGCTGCTCTGGAGTTCAGTTCCTTGGGCCAGGGGCCCCCTGAGCTGGTAAACGGGACCTTGAGCCACATGGGCCATTTCTAAAAAGGCACTCAGCAGAGGTGCTTCTTCCTGCCTGGAGCCAACTCTCCATTGCAAGAGCCTGCTTCTTGTCCCAGTGCATAAATCCAGGTGTTGGCCTGGCTGCCTGAGGGCTGGTCCTGTGTGCCCAATTGCCTGACAATGGGGATATGAATTTTTATTTATTTATTTATTTATTTACCCAAAGAGAGAAGATTGGGGTAAAAAAAAAGGGCCCAGTGATAAGGGTTGCTGTGTCTCTATGCCCTGTAGGAGAGTTAGGGGCCACCTCCTCACCTGATTTTGTGGCAATCACATTCTTCTGGTCGCTTCTTCTTCAGGTGACCTCGGACTTCCCTTAGGTTCTTAATTTTGTTCTGAAGAGTTTCGATCTGGGAGAAGGAGTAGGGGCTGGGCAAGAAGGGCATGGCCTGATGGCTGTCCCGGCTCTGCCTTGTCCATGCTAAGCAGCAGCAGCTGCCACCGCCTGCATCACGGGTGCCAAGGAGGTGTTTGGTTCCATCTGCTGAAGGAAGCCTTCCTGGCCCTCCCCTCCTGCCAGGCTCCGGCGAACGTACCAAGTCCCTGTCCTGTCCTGGCCTGCCCGAGAAACAGTTGAGCCCGCCAAGGGCTTGAATCTTTCCCTCAAAGGACTAACTGTAGTGTGGACACCTTGTAAATCGAAAAGGGGGACAGTATAACTGAGAACCTGCATGAGATAGCTGGCTGTCTCATGCTAGGACTGATGCTCCTGTCCCTGGGTTGTGGATTCCATGGAAACCTCCCTTCGCCTGTCTGCTTCCCTGTGGGAATGGTGGGCCCTGCTGTTCCCATGGTGCCTGAGCACATGCTCCCGCCCACACTCTGCTCACCTCGTGGTCAATGTGCAGCTTGTGGTCTTTCCAGGCCTGCAGGGATTTGTACAGGTCCAGGTCACACTGGACCGTGTCATTCTCTAGGATGTAGCACCTGCTCGAAGAAAAGGGTCACGTGTGGCCCTGAGAGGGTGAGAGGGACCAGCCCAGGGCCAGCCTCCCCCTTCACCCTCAGCCTCTGCCTGGACTCTCACCGATGTGTCACTTTAATGGGGTTGGGGGCTGCGTAGTCTGGAAGGCCTCCAGTACCACTGAAGTCCCCACCGTCCTTGTCATCTTGGTCCTCAGGGGCCCCTGGCCAATGCCGTTTGGTAAGGTTGCGGGGTTGGGATGTGTCATCCACCTGGATGGCCACTGAGCGGATGGAGCGGTTACGGGCATAGCTGGCCTTGTACTCTGTGGATGTCAGAGGGTGGCTAGGTTAGTGAGGCCGTGAGAGGCTGGTCAGGCTCCCCAGGCAGCAGGGCCTTAATCAAGACAGGGCCAGACTCCTGAGCACGAGGCTTAGTGTTCCCTGAGACTTAAGGGCTCATGAGATCTACCCACCCCAGAAGCAGGTCCTGGAGCCCAGGGAGACTGAAGTCCTAGAGCCAAGAAGCAACTGGCCCAAACGAATTTCAAGAAGGAGCTGTGCGTGGATAAACAGATAGCAGTACATCCGAACAATGGAATATTCAGCCATAAAAAGAATGAAGTCAGTCCTGATTCATGCTAAGTGTGGCTGAACGTCAAAGGCATTGTGCTAACTGAAAGAAGCCAGACATACAAGGTCACGTATCATTCTATTTATATAAACTACCCAGCGTAGGTAAATCTATAGAGGCAGACGGCAGATTAGTGGTTGCCCAGGGATGGAGGGCGGTGGGTATTGAGGGGTGACTGATTCAAGGGCACAGGTTTCCTTTTGGGGTAATGAAAACATTTTGGAACTAGATAGAGGTGGTGGTCGCACAATACTGTGAATATACTCAGTGCTTCTCATTCATATAAAACTGTGAAAATGGTAAGTTCTTTGTTTTGTGAACTTTACCTCAATGAAAAAAATAAAAATAACGCAGATATAAAGATGTTGATTTGAATTGGAAAATCAAAGTGCTCTGCAGCACATTCCCCTGCATAGAAGAGGCGAGGCTGGGGCAAGTCGCTGAGCTTCTCCGAGTGTTAGCCTCCTCAGCAGCGAGCTGGTCTCCACTGGGAGTGGGATGGGGGGTGTGAGACGAGGCTGAGGTGCTTTTGCACAAGCTCTGAGTAAGATTTTGAACACTGACGGCATGCGGGCTAATGTCAGACCCTGGATATCTTGTATCTTCTATATATTAAAGAACAAATTTGATTAAGTTGCTAATGTTAAAAAAAGGGTGGTGGTAGTCATGTAGGAGTCCAGATTTCTGACTTCTGAAAAGAAAATGGAAGATGTACAGGGGGCCCACAGGTCCCTCTGGACAGGAGGTGATGTGCTGTCCCTTCAGTCAGGGCGATGTGATCTGCAGGCAGCCACACTCCCTACCACTCCTCCTGCTTTAAAACTCTGCCCACTTGACTCATGACTGGCTCTGGCATGCATTGAAGTTTCTTATCCCTCTCTAAATACACGTTGTTTAAAGAGAAGGGCTTGGAGCCAGGTACGGATGTGTCCAGGTTTCTGTTGGGTCCTCAGTGACCACTAGATGGCGACCAAGGCGGTATGGCTGGAGGCCCACGGTTGGTGGCACCTAAGGTGGCAGAAGAGGGGAGAAATGGACCCCCTTTCCCATACACCAAGGTGCTAGGGCTCCAGGATCAGGTCTTGCTGCCCCCACTCTGTGGCACATGTTTGGTATCTTTCAGCTCTCAGACTCCTTGTGTCCAAGTGACAAGGGCCAGAGAATCCTCAAAGGGCCCAGGAGAGGCTTCTCTTCTGCAAAGCCTCAGGCCTTTTCTAGCCCCTTGGCTTTTTTCCTCTCTGAGTTCAGTCTCCCAGCTGCACTAAGTGTGGAGTAAATCCCCCATGCTGAGTGGGTGATGTCTGGCCAAAGGGGTCAAGCAACAGACCCGCCACATTCTTTCCGCTCCTTTGGTCTCCCTTGGCCCAGCAGTCAGCAGCTTTGCATCTTCCCACCCTCCGTCTGCCAGCGATAGACCCAGGGGCCCCGAAACTGTGGACTAAGGGCCCAATCCGGCCCTCCACCTGGTTTTGTAACTATTGTTTTACTGGAACGCAGCTACCCTCATTCATTTATGTCACCACAATGACAGAGCTGAGTAGCTGAGACAGAGACTGTCCAGCTCTACAGCAAAGGTCTGCCTCTCCTGTGTAAACCTTGCTCTGCACTGAAGCCACACCACTTGCTCTCCCCTCTCATGTCTTTGTTTCCTGCCACACAAATGGGGAGTGGGGTGAGGATGGGATGGACTTCACAACCCAGCAGCCAACAGCGTAGGCTCTGGAGTCGGATTGTTCAGGTGCTGACCTTGAAGTTCCTCTTCCCCTTAAGAATACTCACTGTCTGGCTGCTCACAAGGCCTGTTCCTTCTCTGTACTCGGCTCTCACTTAAATGTCAACCAACCACCCATTCAAGAGCTGCCACCTGCCTCCACCTGTCACTCCACTGTTGCATTTCCTTCATGTGCTCTTCACCGTGGGAAGTGATCTTCGTGAACTTGCTGATGTCTCGTCTCATCCATGAGACCCTTAAAGTCCAAGTCAGCGTCTGTGTTATTCAACTCTGTAACCTCAGCATCTGGCACATGGTATCGCTCACAGATTTGTTGGAAGGATAAATGAACACCAGCCACCTGTGCCTGTCCCTGGCAACCTCATCTCCTCCTCCTGGTCCTGGGCACCTCCTGCTCTGGGCTGGCTGGCTCTGCCTGGCTTCCCTATGCCTCAGCCGGAATCCCATGGTCAAGGCCGGGGAGCTAAGCCGCTCTAGGCCAAGGCTTCGATCTCAGCACTGTTGACATCTGGGGCCACATAAATCTCTGTAGTGGGGCTGTCCTGTGCATCCCTGAGCCTTTACCCACTAGATGTCAGTAGCACCCCCCCACCCCCATCACACAATTGTGACAGTCAAAAATGTCTCCAGACACTGTTCAGCCTGCTCTAGCCTGACTGCTCAGAAAGGAGGGACAGTCTCTTGCTGGCAGGCACTTGTGGGAGGAAGAATGTTGAGCAGGACATGGGGCTGGAGTCCCCAAATCAGCTATGTGACCCAGTCTTTCCCGTTGTCATAGTGATCAGCCATGCCCTGCTGTTGGGCTGCTGGGGGTGCACTGTGAGGGCTTTGACGTCACCCTGCCCTCACACAAGGACGTATTATGGTGGTAGAGCTGAGTCTCAGCTACTTAGGTGTGTTTTTCTTTCCTCTAAGCATTTATGAGGGGAGAAAAGCTTAACTGAGTTGCAAGTTCTCCTATTATTTAAAGATTATCTACTGTGCTGCGTACTGAAGCAAGGAGATACTAGCTGTGTAATTCAATCTGGAAACTAATCGCTTTATTCAGCTAAAAAAAATTAGTAGTTACTAACTAATCAGCTTGTGAGGAAATATAAGGGGGACATGAACTGGGAAGCATTGTTTGTGGCAGGAGCTGGGTGGGTATGGAGAGGGACTCATCTGTGTTTGCCACCTGGCCAAGCAGACCAGAGGAGCCTGGTAGGCCACTGAGCCCACCACAGGACCCCCAGGTCTCTAATTAGGCTACAATGCAGTATTACTCAGTCTTAGAAAGGAAGGAAATTCTGACACAAGCTTCAACAGGGATGAACCTTGAGGACATTATGCTGAGTGAGATAAACCAGTCACAGACAGACAAATACTGTGTGATTCCACTTATGTGAGGAACCTAGAGCAGACGGGAAGTAGGAGGGTAGTTCCTGGAGGCTGGGGAAGGGGGAATGGAGAGGCAGTGTTTAATGGGTGCAGTTTCAGTTTTGCAGAACAGTTCTGGAGACTGGTTGCGCAACAATGTGAATATACTTAACACTGCTGAACTGGATAATTAAAAGTGGTTAAGATAGTAAATTTTATGATATGCATGTGCATTTTACCACAATTTAAAAAACCCTCAGAGCTAAAATCTCTAATTAGGCTTTGGCTGTCCTTGGGTCAGGGGTCCAGAGAAATGGGCCACATGGGCAATTGCCCAGCTCTGGAGCAGACACCTCTCACCAGCTGACCAGGCACCCAGGGGCCCTTCACGCAATTTCAAAGCACAGCTTCACAGCCATTTCCTCCTGTTTTCTGAGGAGGAGCTGAGCCTCTGCATGGGGAAATGTCTAGTCCAGGAGGTGGTAGAGCCTCCAGCAGGTCTGGAAGAGTCCCACCTGCCACGGTCTCCACCCCCTGCCTTTCTAATTGCCATTTCTCTCCTCCACCCTGCTGGGAGGGAGGCAGGAAGCCTTGGGCAGCTTCTTCACTTGGGTGGGGCTCTTCCCCACTCATCCCAAGTATCATCTATTCTCATTATTCACGGTAGTTTGGTTCTATAAAGTCACCGCAAACATGGAATTAGCGAATACTGAACCGTTGTTCCTAGGGGGAGTAGAGGGTTAGGTTCCCCCAAGCCTCTGGTGACAACATTTTAATCAACTGATTGATACAAAACCTCGCTGTACATGTGCTTCTGATTAAAGGCACCTTCTTTCATACATGTTGTGATCCATTACCATCGAACTCAGCACTGCAACTCATGCCTGAAGGAAGCGCCTCTAACACGCATGCTTTCTCTGGGAGGCACATCAGAGGCTTCCTGTGCTCAGGAATGCCAGTCAGCACTGAAGTGCCATGCCTGGGGGCAACGTAAACAGTAAAATCACCAAAACAAAAAGGGACAAAAATGTGAAAAGCGTGGCATTAAATAGACTGGAAAGGATGCTTGTTTACAGTATGAGAGCTGAAACAAGAAGGCCTGTTCTACGTCAGCTGAGAACAAGGGTCGAGCCACTCAAAACATGTTGCGAATGACTCAAAAGTGCCACAAGGATTGATTTGGGGGCTACCAATCAATTTTAGGAGCAGGTGAATTTGCAAACATGGAATCCATGAATAATAATCAACTGTGTCACACATCCTGCTGGCTGTCCCTTCAGATCACACCCAGAGCCCCACCGCTTCTTCCTTCGATTCTATGGCCTGTCCGAGTCTCCGAGGCTTCTGCTGGGTCTCATGGGCTAATGTCAGAATGGTCTTCTGCTTCTGCCCCTGCCCTCTGACAGCCCACTGAGATGGCAGCTGGAGGGATCCTTGCAGAACACAGATCTGAGCTTGTCTCCTCTGCTCAGACCCTCCAGACAAGAGGCTTCTTTGGGCTAATGTCAGAATGGTCTTCTGCTTCTGCCCCTGCCCTCTGACAGCCCACTGAGATGGCAGCTGGAGGGATTCTTGCAGAACACAGATCTGAGCTTGTCTCCTCTGCTCAGACCCTCCAGACAAGAGGCTTCTTGTGTGAGAGTGGAATGCCACAGTGCTGAGGCCTATGTGACCCGGCTCCTTCCCTCCTGAATCGTCTTTCCTGCCCCCCCCCAGCTCACCATACCATCAAATGATCTTATTTCGTTATTACCGCTGTTCCCCACTAGAGTGGGTGGCTTATGAGGGGTCTGGCTGTGCCACCAGCTCCTAGACCACCTGGCATTAGCGACATGTCTGCGGAATTATTTGAATGAATGAATGGGGCTCCCCAGACACAATCTCTCTCCCCTCCTGTGCCATCTGGCCCAGGCCATGACACTTACTCTTCTTGAAGAACTTTTTCTGGCGTCCGGCTAGGCTGAGCCTGTAGTCCCCGCCGTCACAGGTGCAGGCCTCGCTGCCCTGCCCGTAGTACTTGGGCACCAGGTTGGAGAGGGCTCTGCTGCCACCCGGCCGCACGGGGCCCTTGCACTTGTGCAGCTGCAGCTTCCCCGCGGCGTCCTCCACACACTGCCACTTCTGCAGGACACGGCCGGGGCCTCAGACTCCCAGGCCTCGGCCAGCCTGCTCATCTGCCTCCCCAAATCTGCCTGTTCCCACTGTCCCCATCTATCCTGCACACTTCCCTCCACTGCCACTGCTCGACCTTGCATCGAGCCACTGTCATCCCCAGCAAGATGCCTCCAACAGCCTCCACTCCCCTGTGTACCTGCTTCCATCTGTTCCCAGCATCCTTTGCATGGCTGCTAGAGGAACCTTTTTAAAGGGCAAGTTGGATCATGTCACTCCCCTCCTTAAAATCCTCCAATTGCTTCCGCCATCTTTAGGATAAGACGCAAGCTCCTGATCCTGGTCTTTGATGTCCTGCTGACCCCCCAGACCTGTCTGTCTCCTGCTGCTCTCCTGGCCTTGCTCCTCTTCAGCCCCAGTGCTCTTTTCCAATATCCCAAATGTGCTGGTGCCCCGGGGCCTTTGCACTTGCTGGTCCTTCTGTCTACAATGCTTTTCTCCAGCTCTTCATGTGGCTGGAGTCTTCTCATCCTTTGGGTCTCTGCTCCAATGTCACCTCTTTGAGGAGGCTTTCCCTTACCACCTCATTTAAAATCCCCTCTCCCCACGTCATCAAGGACTAGATAAATACTGTATATCAGAGTGTACATGCACATTCAACTCAAGGCATTTGGTCAAAAAATTAAATACAGATAGATACAATCGTTTTCTAGGTCTTTTTCCCAGTTCCAGCCTCCTGGATCCCCTCATTGGATCTTGCAACAACCTGCTAACAGGATTCTCTTCCCTCCTGTCTTAACTTGCTCTGAGACCCATTGATCAAATGATCAGCTAGGGCCTATTTTGTACCAAAGAGATCTTCCCAAGACATGAATCTGGCCTGTTGTGTTTAGCGAGCACTTACCACATGTCAAGCACTGGGTGATGTGTATTAATTCGTTTAGTGCAACTTGCACTACCTTGTAAGGCAGGTGCTGTCACCATCCCCACTTCAAGATGAGGCACAGAGAGGTAGAGGGACTTGCCCCAGGTCATACAGCTGGGAAGGAGCTGGAACTACATGGGAACTGTGGATTTTGGTTCTGCCCTCACCTGCTAGCCAAGACCCTGCTTACTTTCACCTGCTCACCTCACCCCTCCCTGTCAGTCCATTCTCATCTGGAGGTAGGATCCATCACGTTCACGGATTTCTGCTGCCTTCCCACACCCCCAGTGTGGGCCAGGTGGCACGTCACCTTCTGCCTGTCTCCCTTGTCCAATGCTCTGAGCCTTGCACCCATTTAGGTCATCCCTGTTTATGGGGCCCTGCCCCATCCCCAGTCCTCTGCAGAGCCTGCATTGGCCATCCAGGCCCCAGAGAAGCCTAGCTCAGGCGCTCCCAAACATCAGTTGGTTTCTGCTGTCTCTAAATACTACCCAGATTATAATTTCCTTCATATTTCTAGCAATCAATTCACTTTAAAAACTTAAACTTATTTAAAAGGCCATTTCCTGTTACTCTCATAAATGGAAAACCAGCCACAAAGAGGACACTGTGAAAGTGAATACAGTGAAAATTAAGTTATTTAACTCCTGTGACTGCCTGCTGGGGCCTTTGTGTGACAGGGCTTGGTAAGGGCTGGAGGGGAGCCAAAGACATGCTCATGCCCCTGGGACACTTTTCCCCTGACCTCTCATGAGCCCGACTGCTGAGAGAGAATCACCGCCTGTGAGCGTCACTGTGCGCCCACTAGTGGAACTTGGGGTATCACATGGCAGTCAGGGACCACAGCTTGGGCGGCACTGGCCTCGCTGGCTCAGCGGGTCTCAGGGCTGGAGCAGGCCTGGGTGGCATTGTGGAGGGGGAGCCCTTGGGAGGGGACAGAAGAGGGAAGGGGCAGCGGCCGAGCCCCCTCACCTGTCCCAGTTGCTCGCACGCCGTCTGATACTCGGCACGCTGACACAGGTCCTTCACGCGCTGGTACTTGGGTAGGAAGTTCTCCTCCTGGGCATCCACCTTGTCGTTGTCCCGCTTGTGGAGCAGTTTGCTGTGGGCGGAGACGCGGGGCTGGCCTCAGCCCTGGAGGAGCCCTGGTGGCACGTGTGCCCCCACTCAGCTCTGCTCCATCCTCACAGTGGAGGACACAGGGCCGGCCTGACCACGTCTCCTGATTTTATGACACTTAATAAATGAGAATGTTATAGGAAACTTCCCAAATTGCATGAGTTGACAATAAATTGAAAAACACTGAAGATATGGTACAGGCTGGACAAAACACGTCGAAGGGGTACAGGTGGCCTCCCGATGCCAACTCTGTATCATCCACAGGAACTACAAACAGGCTTTGCTTATGTCTCAGAGGATTTGGGATTTGGGCAGCTTCTAAGTCACTGTTGGGAGGTGTAATGATAGCACTGTTCTGCCCTCGGCAGGGAGATCTTTACTACCCCGAATGCAGGTGGGGCTGCGGGAGCTCCCTGGACAGGGGTGCCTGGGTGCTGCTTAGCTCAAAGGCAATGGGGGGGCGGTCCTCCCAGGACCCTGCACTCACCCTCTCTCCACCAGGAAGGAGTCCCGCCAGACCCTCATCTTCCTTTTCAAGTGAAACCTGGAAAAAAAGCACATCTCCAGGTTCTCATCCATGTGGGGGCCGTTCTTGCCCATTCTCCCAGGAGCAGGGATGGTGCCCAGAGTCAGCCTTGTCCCCAGTCCTAACCACATGGGTCTAAGAGGGGGGTCTCCAAGAGTCAGGAGCTGGGTTTCTCAAGCCCCCCATCCCAACCCAGAACTGCGGGGGCCTGGGCGGCAGTCGTGGTGAGTGGCCTGGTTGGGCACTGGAAAGGCTCCACCACCCTCCTGAACAGAGCCTCCCCCACAGACTTAGCTCTGAAGGCACATGGGGCAGAAATGACCAAGGTCAAGGTCACTCTAAGTCACATGCTCAGTGCCTCCCAGGAAGTCCCATAATCCCCTCAATGCTGGAAGAGATGGCACTCTCTTCAGTTCAGCCCCAGCTGCATGGTTGTCCTGACTTCAGGTTAGTTACACTGTGTTTTGGGGGATGTTTTCTCTGATCCTTTATAGTTGGGTTTGTGTAATTTGAGTGTGCATTTCGTGAAGTGTCACTCTATCATTTCCCTGTCCTAGGCTGAGAGAGGAAACTTCCACCCTGCAGTTGACTCCCAGGTGTCCTGGCTCCCAAGCCAGTGTCCCACCTCTAAACCCGTCCATTTTATACGCTTATAGCCCACCCAGCCTCAGAGACCAGGGCAGGAGGGCGAGGGGAGGCAGTCCCCTCTACAGCACAGCCAGAAGTGGACAGACGATGCCTATCAGGGCTGGAGGCCACTGAGGAGGGGTTCAGCTGCAGGAAGCGCAAGCCGGGGAGGGGCGAAACAGCACCTTGGGGCCAGGAACACGGTGGGCAGTTACTGCGCTGGCCACCAGATGTCGCTACAGCCACACTAGTGGCTGCGTCCCTTCTTTCCTGTCCCTGCCCTGACTCAACCCTCCTTCCACCTGCCTATTTTTTGCTCCCCACCACTGTTCCCTTTTCTGCCTCCCAGGACACTTAGGAATGTGTTCCTGTCACACCATCTGGCATTAAAGCCACACAGTGTGGCGAGTCAGAGTCTGAATTCCTGGAGTCACGCCCAGACTTGCTCTGAGACCTGGACAAGTCACTTAACCTCTCTGGGATCCGAATTCCGAACTGGTAAAATGGGGATAATAATGTCTACCTCACTGGGTTACTGTGAGGACCACAGTGATACGATACCCTGCAAAGTACTTAGAACAAGAATTAATGCTAGTACACAATAAATGCTCAATTAATGCAAACTCCTAAGATTACTGCTATTGGTATTGTTATTATTTCAAGCTTTACGTAATTTTAACTCCAAGAGGATCCTCAGCTGGTCACTTAACTACATTCCAGATGGGAAGATGGAATCTTAGAGAAGGGACTGTCCTTCTCTGCCACAGCAGGTAAGTGGTTGGGATGGGGGGGCCTGAGAAACCCAGCTCCTGACTCTTGGAGACCACCCTCTTAGACCCATGTGATTAGGTCCTAAGTTTCTGCAGGTAGGGGAGTCACATCCCTCCCTCTGGACCCCACCCTGCGCCCTCCTCACCGATTCACCGGCCGCTCTGTGTCCAGCAGCTTGAGGATAGATTTCCCATCCATATCCGTGGGGATGTCCAGGCCTGCGATGTCCAGGATGGTGGGGGCCAGGTCGATGTTGAGGACAATGTGGGGATTCCTGGGGGAGGCAGGGAGAATGGGCACTAAGCCACCTGGGCAGTGGACAAGGGACAGCTGGAGGGATACAGGTCACCAGGGGCTGATGCCTGAAGGTCATGTCACCATCTGGCACCTCAACGCTCAAGAGCTACTCTCTGCGGCCAAATGCAGCCAGACCCCATCCTCCGCTCAGACCCTTCCTTCTGTACCTGCAGACATGCCACGGAGTGCTGGCTGACAGCCCTGCCCTTCCTCCCCCTCCCCCTCTGCTTCTGCTGGGAATGCCCCTCTGCCCCCACTACCTCTAAGGGTAGTGGAGCAAGGGCCACCACCTCTACGAGCCACCCCAAACCCTGAACCTTCCTGGACTTTTCCCCTGGACCTTTGAGGCAAACACTGGCTCCCTTGCTATTGGCCCCAGGGCCTTTGGCTGCTGTCTCCAGAGATCAGTGTGGCATCATCCCTCACCCCTTTGATTCTCTGCTCAACTATTACCAAGGAGGTCAGTGACAGGCTCCAAGTGGCCCCCCGGATTTCGACCCCTGGTGATCACACCCACCCATGGTTATCACATTCTAGTGTGATCCCCACACTCGAGAGTGGCCAAGTCTGGACTCACTGCCAACCAACAGAACATGGTGAAGGTGACAGGCTGTCACTCCCTTGGTTATGTTATGTGATATTCAACTCCACCTTGCTAGCAGTCCTACCTGTCTCTTTTCTCCCCTTGCTGGCTTTGAGAAGCTGCCGCAGGTCCACCAAGCAAAGGTGCCAGTGAATAGTCTGGGAGGCAGGTGTGTGGGTTCAAGTCCTCTGCTTGCACTTGAGCAACACTGTGAGTGGGAAGCGGGTACTTCCCCAGTTGAGCCTCCACTGAGACTGCAGCCCTGGCCAGCACCTTGATTTCAGCTTAAGCTGAGGACCCTGTGAAGCTGGGCCCTGACTTCGGACCCAGAGACATGTGTTTCAAGCTACTGACTCTGTGGCAATTTGTTGTGGCAGCATAAATACCTGATCCAACGCCCTTCGTGAGGACCCTATTTAGAATGGCACCCTCCTGCACTCCCAACTCCTCCTTTGTCTTTCTCCTGAAGCCCAGTCACCCTCCCATATACTATCTATTTTACTTATTTATCTGGTTTGTTGTCTGTTGCCCAGTTAGAATCACAGCTGCAGGAAGGCCAACACTTCTGCTCATTTCTGTATCTGCAGCACTTATACACTTAGAACACACAGTAGTACCCAATAAATGTTAGCTAACTGAATCACCATACACCTGCCACTTCTCCTGTCTCCTCTCTTTACTTGGTGGTGTCCCCAGTGTAGTGGTAAGTGACACTAGGGATGTGTCCAGCACGGACGATGGACACATTCTCCATCCAGGTAATTTGGTGTCTCTCCCTGCCCTGCCTCTGGTTCCCTGAAGACGAGTGGCAAGTCCTGGGTCCCAGGGTTTCAGTCATCCTTGACCCTTTCCCTCTCCCTAGCCCAGCACCTTGTGAACATCGAACAGGTAGCTAAGCATGCTGGTGGGTTGGGGGATGGGGGGTGGTGAGGCTGGGAAAGGTTGCTGGATGGAGCTGGGCTGTCCACGGTCCTACTTCTCCAGGCTGGATGGGAGGGACAGTGACTCTTTTCCCAGCCAGCATCCACGCCTTGCTCTGTGGCAACAGCTTCTAGATCTGGAGGAACCGGGGGATGGGGGGTGGTGAGGCTGGGAAAGGTTGCTGGATGGAGCTGGGCTGTCCACGGTCCTACTTCTCCAGGCTGGATGGGAGGGACAGTGGCTCTTTTCCCAGCCAGCATCCACGCCTTGCTCTGTGGCAACAGCTTCTAGATCTGGAGGAACCTGCCCCATTCAGATTCCTCTACCTGATGTACTCAGCCTGGTCACTCAAGATTTTATCTCACCCCTGGCCACTGTGATTGGTTCAAGGATGGACCCATGGCCCAAGCCAGGTCAGTGAGACCAGCCTCGGGCTTCTGTTCAAACCACTGTTAGGTTTCCTAAGCTGGATGGCTGAAAGTCATCTTTCCTAAGCTGAAAGTCTGGAGCTGTTGATCCTGCCACCAGGAGGGAGAAGTCTGCCTGCCAGTGAAGCCAATTCTGAGGAAGCAGGGCTGAGATGGAAAACGAGAGCTTCCTGGTGGCGTCACAGGACTGCTGGATCCAGCCATACCTGAAGTGAGATCTATCCTCACACTTTTCAGTTCCTTTAGATACTGCATTCATTCCTTTTATCTTATTTGCCTCATCTGGATTGAAGGTCATTTCTATTTGCAACCACAGGGGTCTTGGTTGACAGATATACTGTGTGTCTTCAGCCCCAGGCCTGACATTAGCACACTTTCTCTTGTTCTTGTGGGGTGTGGGTTTGGGACCTATGAACCAGATCACAGACTCCCAGACTGACCAAACCCACAGTGTTGTGTTTGTAGAGCCCTTAGTAGGTCAAACTCTGTTCACGGGCAGGTCAAGGTTTCTGAGAAGCATGTGGTGGTGTGGTGGATGGGAACAGAGACTTCTGGCTTCAAATATACCTCTTACCCTTACTTGCTGTGTGAATTCAGGCAACATAACCTCCCTGTGCCTCAGTGTCCTTAGGTATAAAATGGGTAATAACGGCATCTATCTCATAGGCAGTTTTGATGTTTAAATGAATTATATGGCTATAAAGTGCTCAGACCATGGCCTAAGAATAAGGGCTAAATAAGCACGAGCTATTAATCATGTGGGGATTAGCGCGTAATCATGTGGGGACTCCGATGTCCGGAGACAGGGAGTGATTTGTTGAGGTCAACAGAGGCATCTCTCTCTCTGGACTTGCCTCCTGGAATTTTCACCAAACGTCCAAGGCAGTGGGAACATGTCAGTCTGCAATTCCGTACCCCACCATCAATGCCTTTTCAGGAGGAATTCTGCAGCAAGTGCATCAGTGCCTGCATCGTCTGGGTGTGATGGAAGTCAGAGCAAACGACAGTTTCAATAGCAATGTATCTGCCTTTCAAAAAGGCACTTGAGCTGGCCTCCACAATATCCCATCTGATCCAAGGCAGCTGCTGCTATGATTGCTGGCCTTTCTACACTCTCCCCTGCCCAGACGTAGCATTTCTGCTGCCAGAATGCGTCATCTCAAAGGTTAACCTAAGGAGAATGGCTGGCCGAGGGCTGCGGCGCACGTGGTGCTGAGGAAGGATGGGAGGGAGGCTGTTTCCCTCTGTGCCACTGCCAGGAGCTGGCTCAGCTGATCTCAGCTGATAAGTGGCTGCTGACCAAGGGCCAGGTGCCTCCCTGACAACCACCGGTTCCAGGGACTGCCTAGCCCAGAACAGAAATCTGAGCGCTGCTGGCTTGCACCTGCTGGCAACGCACGCGCACAGCCCCTGGACGTCCCAGCCCACAGCCCCGCTGCAAACAATCTGTTCTCACAGGTGCTAGCCGCTGCTGGCCTCTGTTTCCCCAGCACAGGGGTGTAAAATGTGTCAGAATCCACCCCGGGTGACACCATTGCTGTTTCAGTTGGCACTGAGGTTCACCTGACAAAATTGTGTGTGGCACAGGGTGTGGCTCAGGCCTGGGCTGCAGGGTTGAGGCGCCCAGCTGAGCCTGGAGACCTCCCTGGGATCTGGCGGGGTGGGGGTGACGCACTTACAGAGAGCCAGCCTCCACGTTGGGGCCCCTCACGTAGAACGGGACCCTGATGTCGAACTCGTACGGCATGGACTTCCCTTTCACCAGGCCAAACTGGCCGATGTGGTAGCCGTGGTCGGCGGTGTACACGATGTAGGTGTTTTCCAGCTCGCCCGTCTCCACCAGCATGTTGTAAATCTGAAATGCAGGCGAGGAGGTGAGGCCAGAGGGAACCGTGTGCCCTGCCTGCCTGACCCAGGGGTGATGAGATGCTGGAGATCTCAGGCCCCCCTGCTTCAGGTCTTTGCTCAGCTGCCCGTCACCTCTCAGTGTGGCCCCTGGGGCTGCCTGTCCCATTTGTAACTGCAGCCTCCCCCACTCCTGTCACTTCCTGCCACCCTCTCCCCTCTACTGGTCTTCATAGCACACCTCACCTTCTCTCTTTCCCTTATTTGTGGATTGTCTGTCCCCCTGCATTGGAATGTAGGTTTCATCAGAGCAGGGATGTTTGTCATTTTGTCCCCTGTCCTCTCTATCCCAGGTACACTGACACTCAATAAATGCTGTCAAATGAATGAAGGATGGAAGGAAGGTAGCCTGTGGCCAGAGTTTGTGACCTAGAACACTGCTGTCCAACAGGACTCTGTGGCCTGCACTGCCCCCATGGCAGCCACCAGCTGCATGGAACCACTGAGCAGGTGGAACGTGGCTGGTGTGGACCGAGGAACTGGATTTTAAATTTTATTGTATTTTAATTAATTTAAATGTAAACAGCTATGGATAAATCTAACGTGTGTTATTATATCCATGCACTGGAATATTATTCAGTCACAAAAAGGAATGAAGTGCTGACACGTGCTCCTCCACGGGGAACCCTGACAACATGTGCTAAGGGAAAGAAGTCAGTTGTGAAAGGCCACATACTTGATGATTTCATTGTTGTGAAATGTCCAGAATACCAAATCCACAGAGACAAGAAAAAGATTACTAGTTGCCCTGTGCTGGGGGCTGGGGGGATCTGGAGGGAGAGATTTGGATTTGGATTTGGGGGATTTGGATTTGGCAACCGTAGTGGGCAGCACAGATCTTGAATTTAAGTTTCGTAAAGGCAGAGGTAGTCTGGATTGCTCAGAGCTGGTTACCCAGGCCTGGATCAGTGCCTTTTCTCTCTGCCTTCAGGTTCCATTCCTCTCCAGTGGGACCCCTGAGGGCAGGAAGGTTTCAGCCCTGGCCTGGCTGTCCAGTCAGAGCCATGTCCGGGAGGACGTGTGTGCAGGTGGCAGAGGACACCTACCGTCTCCATGGAGTCATCGACGGACATGAGGGTCTGCAGGCGCTTCCGCTGCAGCATGTTGGTGAATTCCATGTGGATGGGCTTCATGGGCCCCGTGTAGCGCATGATCCAGTGCTTGTCCGGGTTGGGCGCGTAGTTGTAGCTCGGTGTGCTGGCGGGCAAACACATGCGGGCAGTCAGCCCCGGCCAGACGTGCTGCCCCACGCGTGTCCGCAGCCCAGGGCGAAACCTGCTCCACTTGGGGGGAAGTGGACACTGCTGTGTCAGGGTCTCTGCTAAACATTATTTCGGCTTTTCTCCACATGTGACATGTGCCTGGGAGACGCCTGCAGGAGGCACAGCATTAAATGACCCAGAGCCACTAAGTGAGAAGGGCAGTCACTCCCTTTCCCGCTCTCTCAGGCCAAAGTCCCAGTTTGGTGCTAGTCTTTCTTTAACGCCCCTCTGGAATTGCTCATCTCCCTTAAAAAGACCCCAGTCCAGAGCCTTCGGCAGGCACCAGCACCCAGCTCTATCTTGTTTTTGTTTTTCTTTTTTGGCGGCTGGCTGGTATGGGGATCTGAACCTTTGACCTTGGTGTTGTAACACTGTGCTCTAACCAGCTGACTAACCGGCCAGCCCCTATTCTAACTGAATAGGACTGCTCTGTGTGCACTGTATTTATTTTTCAGTTACCACTGGTAGATAGCAAGTGACAGTTATTGTGGTTAAGGCAGGACTATAGAATACCCTTTTGCAACAGATTTGGTTTTAAAAAAAGGAAATTGATTTAAAAATCAAGGAAATGATAGTTAAGCATAGATGGCCAAAATTGTGCAGATGGCCTGCAAATGTGCACATTTGGGATACACTGCATTCTTTAATTTAGTTGTCACAATTATTCTTCCAGTTTTGGCTCAATCTCCCATTTAAGTTTAAATCCCATTAAAGAGGAAACGGAGGGTCAGAGAAGATTGGGGACCTGGCCACAGTCTCACTGGGTGAGTGATGGAGCCACAGAGCTCTATGACTTCTGCTGTGGGATCCACTGTGATTACTAATGACAAATGAACAGGTAAGTGATATCGGCTACTGAGCAGTGATCCCGTGCTCAGCCTGGTTCCAAGGGCTCACCTTATATCATCTCATTTAATACAACAGTCCTAGGAGCTGGAGCTATTCTTACTTTCCTAGGGTGAAAAATAAGAAAACTGAGGCTCAGGGAGGAGAACTATCTTGCCAAAGGCAGAACTGGGATTCAAACTCCAGCAGCTGACGAGGCCAACCATATCACATGCCACCTCATCATAAATGCCTCCTGGGCACATGGGGTCTGCCTGGGGTCCTGATAGGTGCTTGGGCAAAACTCTGACCAAGACACTCCTGCTGGAGGATTAATCAGCGAAACACACTGTGGTTAATTCAGTGCACAGCCTCAGGAAGTCACCCTATCTCAAACCAAGAGCATTTCCTGTCACCTCAGCTTATGCCAGACCCCAAGATCTGAGTCACTGAAAACCCCACCACCATGTGGGGTATCCTGGGTGGGCTACACCATGGATAGATAGTAAGCACTTGGTTTAACACTCCACAGAATGTGGGCGTCCTTCAAACTGCATCAGATGATACTCGATGGCGAGGTTCCCCTCAAATCTACCCCAATCCCAGTCAAAGCTGAAAATAAAGGCTGAGTCTCCACTGTTTGAAGACAAAAGGCTTTTCAGAATGGGGTTAAAGGGGCAAGGGGCTGCGGGGGTGGGGGAGGGTGGAACAGGCCATGTCAGAGAGGGGCAAAACTCTCTTTTCGGTCGCCTGTCACGGTAGGACCTTGGTGGCAGCTTGAATATCAAAATGGTCTTGGGGTAGAAATAATGACACTACGGCTTTCAGTAGCCTGACAGTTACGGAGACCGTTGCTATGTAGAGTGGGAGGTGAGTCTTGGCTCTGAGACTCCTTCTGGACACTGCTTTCAAATGGCTGAGCTGCCTGTCACGGTAGGACCTTGGTGGCAGCTTGAATATCAAAATGGTCTAGGGGTAGAAATAATGACACTATGGCTTTCAGTAGCCTGACAGTTACGGAGACCGTTGCTATGTAGGGTGGGAGGTGAGTCTTGGCTCTGAGACTCCTTCTGGACACTGCTTTCAAATGGCTGAGCTGCAGCCTCCTGCCGCTAAATCCATCCAGGGCCCTCGCTTCCTTTGATTAGGAAAAATGCTATTCTCTCCGGTGGGCCGGCTTTGCCAGTCTTAGGGCCTGACCCGCTTGTAGAACATTCCCATGAACAAGCCTACTTCCCCCTCTCCTGAGGAATTGAAAGAGGGTAGCTGGGGGCAGCAGTCTACGAACAGATGCTCTCCAAGCAGTGCTGCGATGCAGGGTGATTGTTCTCGCAGGCCCAAGGGCCCAGACTCCAGATGCGAGTATTAGCAATCATCTCTGAACCTATTAGAAGTTCGTGAAGGATGAGTTTGTCAAGAGTCTGGGGCAGGACAACTTCTGCAGCCCTTTCTCAGAGAGACCTCTTTTGGAGAAGGACATTGGGGCCAGAGGACACAGGGCCAGATCTTGCTTGGGGCCGAGGTGGGCTGGCTGGTCACTTGTGCCAGGCCAGGCTCCCCCCGGAAGGGTGTCGGCATTTTCCCATTAAGCCAGTGCCTGTGGAACAAAGATTTGAAACCCTCCCCTCCTCAAGCATCTGAGGAATGTCTGGTGTGCTCACAAAAGGGCCTGGAGAACATCCCCCCTTCCCTTCTGTGGGGGGAATGGGGGTGGGGGGAGGGTGGCTGGGCCCTCATGTGTGTCTGCAGGCCGTCAGCAGGGCCATGACACCCATCACCCCAAGGCTGTCAACTGTGGCCCGGCTCCTAGGGGCTTAGAAAAGGAGAGATTCCTGAACCCACAATCAGATGCCACACTTTGAAAGGAAGCTCTGGGGCTGATGGGTGTTTTTGTGTCTGTGCGTATTTGTGTGTCTGTGTTTCTTTGTGTGTGTGTGTGTATCTGTCTGTGAGTACCTGTGTGTATGTTTGTGTTTATATGTGTTTGTGTCTGCATGTGTGTATATATCTGCATGTACATGTGTGTCTGTGTGGGTCTGCGTGTGTTTGTTTGTATATGTCTGTGTGTACGTGTGTGTGTCTCTGTGTGTGTGTGTGTGGAGTGGGGAGGGTGAATGGGGCCCTGGGTTGGTGGAGTGGGTGGATGGGAGATGGCACCAGCATCAGGCAGCCACTGTGGGAACCCACCAGGCCTGCCCGTAGAACAGGGTACAAGGTGGGCCTGCTGGAGACGAAGAGATCTCACAGGAGACACCCAGTGGAAAGATCCAGCACTCTGACTGTACATGCACCACTCTGGCCCCTCTTCACCTCTCCTGGACTGTCATAATTAAACATTCCAGCTGCAGAACTTTTTTTTTTCTTGGTTTTGTTTTGGAAGTGATTATACCCCAGAGATAAGAGAGCCTTTCAAACACACCCCTAATAAGGCGAAAGGGGATTCTCTGGATAAGTAATCTCAGGCGTTGCTCATTTTCAATTTCTGTGATTTTCATTTCAAAGGGAAAATAAATGAGCAGGCAATGTCAAACAATCTCATCAGGAAACTCCAGAGCTGAAACTGCAGGGCTGCTGGGGTGAAGCCGCGCCTCTTTTAAAGGAGATGGTGTGGAAACAAAGTGAGCTCCCCCCCCCCCCCCCCCTCACAGAGGAATGAGGGCAATCTATTCTGATTGTAATGAAAATTAAAAACCCTGAATATTCAGGCAAACTCCAAATTGCCCTGTCCTTGTAGCCCTGGAATGTCATAGCAAGTGCTGCTGAGTACCCTGCTGAGCAGGAGGTGGTCTGAGGCAGAGAAAAGCAGAACTTTCCAGAAAGATTTACCAGCCAGCTGGATAGAGGACTGAAGGGATGGGCAGAGATAGGAAGTGTGAGTGGGGGCTGAATTTGCATCCTGGTTCTGCCATTTGGCAGCCAGGTGACCTCAGGTAAGTTACTTCATCTCTCTGTGCCTCAGTTTCCTGATCTGCAAAATGGAAATACCAAATGTGATAGGCAGCTTCCAATATGGCCCTCAATGATCCCCACTTCCTAGTCTTCACACTCCTGTGTAGTCCCTCCCACACTGCAGGAGAACTGGTCTATGTGGTGGATAGAATATGGCAGAGTGATGGTGTATTACTTCCAAGATAAGGTTATAAAAAACTGTGGCTTCCATCCTGGCCTTGCTTCCTCTCTGATCATTTGCTCTGGAGGAAGGCAGCTACCATGGTGTGAGGACACTCAAGCAGCCCTATTGCTACGGTTTGAATGTCCCCCCAGAACCCACCGAAGTTTGATCCCCACTGTAATAGTGTCAAGAGGGTGGGAAATCAGATTACGGTATTTGAAAGGTGAGGCCTTTAAGAGATGATTGGATCATGAAGACTATATCCTCATGAATGTATTAATCCATTCATGGATTAATGGGTTGATGGTTTAATGGGTTATCAGGGGGCTTTATAAGGAGAGAAGAAAGCATGTGGGAATGCTCTTGCTCAGGCCTATGTGATACCCTTTGTCACCCCAGGACTCGGTACAGAGTCCCTACCAAGAGGAAGGCCCTCACCAGATGCAGCCTTTGACCCTTGGACTTCCCAGCCTCCAAAACTGTAAGAAATAAATTTCATTTTCTTATAAATTACCCAGTTTCAGGTATTCTGTTATAAGCAAGAGAAAATGGATGAATACACCAGTGGAGTGGCCTATGCAGTGAGGACCAGCCATGTGAGTGAGCCCACCAAGCCTCAGGTGACTGCAGCCCCAGCTGACACCTTGATTGAAACCTTGGGAGACCCTTAGCCAGAACCTCAGACAAGCCACTCCCAGATTCCTGATTCACAGACACTGTGAAATAATACGTGTTTGTTGTTTTAAGCTGCAAAATTTGGGGGTAATTTGTTATGCAGCAATAGATAACTGATACACCAAGGATCACTGTGAGTATTCAGAGATTTGATGCACTGTAAAGGGCTTAGCATAGAGCTTGCCACATAGTCAATAGCTCAATAAATGTTGACAATAAATGTAGTCTGGTGAAACTATAAACCCCTTCTCAGAAGAATGTTTTTAAAAGTATGAAATAAAATACACAGGATTACAAAGGAAACCTATTATTTGCAGTTCCATCCACAGACCTCTTGGTGGGATGACCTGGATCCCAAGTTAAAAACCTCTGTCTCCTGCTTTGGTTTGTTAGTCAGGCTGGCTAGATTTGTATCCCAGTTTCACCATAGACAAGAAATGTGTTCTTCTTGAGTTCTTTAAACCAGGAGGATTAGAGAGAAGGCACGGCTATGTCATTGTTGTTACATTACTGTTACTACAGCCTGACCCTCCCACCTTCATGCTAATCCGGGGCTCTGCCAGGCAAGGTGCTGAGGCTTACATGTGCTGGGATGCGTTGGGGAAGAGGCGTGAGTATTGAGGGGCTGAGTCCTCAGGGCCGTGGGGGGCTGCATGGCTGATGACCATTAGGACCGGCCTGTGTGGGTACATCTTCTTGGATGTGCGGAAGAAGCTCACACTGTCATTGGTGATGAGGTCTGTGAGGTAATCCTGGAGGGTGGGGAGAGACAGGAGAACGGGTGAGGAGTTGTGCATTTTTACTGAGTGCTCACTATGTGCCAGGCACTGTGCTAGGCATTGGGGACACAGCAGTGAACAAAAGAGACAATCCCTGCCCTTGTGGAGCTGACAGTCTAGGGGACAGACAGACAATAAACCAGCAAATAAAATATGCAGGATATCAAATGGTGCTAAGCTCAATGGAGAAAAAGAAAGAAGAGTAAGAGGTTAGCAAGGACAAGGGAAAAATTGCAATTTATCACTCATTCATGATAGATATTAAAAGAGTAATAGCTAATACTATTGAAGTGTTGTGTGTTTACTTTTACTAGCTAATTTAATTCTTATATAACCACAGAGAGTAGGTATGATGACAATCTCTATATTCAAGAACAGAAAATTAAGGCACAGAGAAGTTAAGTGAATTGCCCAATATCACACAGTTGATAAATGCTGAAGCCAGGACTCCTGAGTCTTGGTTCCTAAGTCTAAAGTCTTTTCAGGCATCTTGAGATACTGTCATGCAGGGTAGGTATGTTTCTGTGTTCCTGGAGTGCCTATGCTGGGGGCAGGAGCAGAAAAACATGTAAATAAAGAACCAAGATAGCTACAATATGTGACAATGAAGGAAATAAGACCAGGAGGTGTAACAATGAGTAACTGGGAACTGGGGGGCGGGGGGAATATACTTTAGCTGGGACAGTCAGGGAGGGCCTCTCTGAGGAGATGACATTTAAGTTGAGACTTGAATGACGAGAAGGAGCTGGGCATGGGAAAATCTACACCACTGGATTTCAATCTCGGTTCCCTGGTGAGCTTTACTGATACCTGAGCCCACCCCCAGAGATTCTGATTTGATTGGCCTATGGTTCAGCCCAGGTATTGCACTTTTTAAAAGCTCCCCAGGGGATTCCAATGTGCAGTCAGGATTGAGAATCCCTGATCTAAAGGAAGAGTTTCAGGCAGAGGAAACAGCAAATGCAAGGGCTCTGAAGCAGAAATGAGATTGCCATGTGTTCTAGGAACAGAAAAGAGAGCAGGATGGCAACTGGCTCCTTGGAAAGTGGATAAAATGTCAGCAGGCAAAATACGAAGATGATATAAGGAGTAGCACAAACAAAGGCATGCAGTAATATCTCTAGAAAAATGAGGGAGCTGGCTTACATATTGGGCAGGAGGAGAGAAGAATTGGAGGAAAAGTAAATGGCCAGAAACTGGGGCCTTTAAAAGCTCAGCTAAGAAGTTAAGATTTTCCTAAACCTTTTTTTTTTTTTTTTTTGGCAGCTGGCTGGTATGGGGATTTAAACCCGTGACCTTGATGTTATAAGGCTGCAGTCTAACCAACTGAGCTAAGTGGCCAGCCCATAAACTCTGCTTGAACTTATAAATCTTTAGTTGCTAATCTCTCTTGAAGGTAATGAGTTCTTGAAATTTACCCTCTGTTATCTGGAAAGCAGCTTTGCCTAAAACTATCACTTTCAAAAAGAGATATTATTTTAGAAAAATAAAGGTAAAGGGGCTACAGCTTCCACCCTGAAGCATAAAACATATGTACATACTATGGTATATTCATACATCTATAGACATACTCCTTCAGGTACACTCATCAATTATATGAGGGTATTTCAAAAGTTCATGGAAAAACAGAGTTAAAAGGTAACATGAACTTTTCCATGAACTTTTTCAAGACCCCTAGTATCTATATGCACAAGGACAGTCACTGCAGTATTGTTTATAAAGCAAAAACATACTATATTGACCAACAGTAGTAGGTGATTAACTTACATTGCTTTCATACTATACAATGCTGTGCAGACATTAAAAAGGCAGCAGATATAGAAAGTTGTCTAAGATAAACTGTTAAGGAAAACAACAAGCTACAGAGTCAAACCCAAGAAGATTCTATTTTTCTATTTTTTATTTTTGGGTGAAGGGAGGAGGCAGGGTGAAGAGAAGCCAAACCCCTAACCTCATATATTTTTGAGCATCAAGGGGAAAATTTAGAAGGATAGATATCCAAGTGCTAATTGAGGACTGGGAAAAGGAGACAGAAGGGAGGAAAGCCACTTGCTGCTTTATAGACTTTTCCTTGAATACTTTTTAGAGATTAATTTTTGGAAGTAGGGAAGGTTTTATAAGGGGACTCTGAAGAACCTATTACATAAAAATATTATATATCACATAAATAAAAAAGCTGCTTTTATAGTCATGGAACATGAACTAAAGGTATTAGAAAAGTTCTTAAAATGACAAAGGTAAATAACAGTGGATCTAAAAATGGTGCAAAGCTTTCTTGGCGGAAAAGGGGTCCAGTCAATGCCTCAAGGGGATGAGTCAGGAAATGGCAGTGAGAATGTGGTGGGTCCACTAATTGAAACTTGCTGCCTCTGGCCAGCGGGGTGGAAGGGAAAAAGGACTGTTGCTCTTCATAATCAACCAATCTTCACTATTTGATCTAACTGTAACTAAACATTTTTCTTATAAAGCTACCATTACCCTTCATTCCCAGGAGAGGACATACAATAGGATTATACGGCACTGAAAAAGAATACAATAGAGCTACATGGACCAACACAGATCAAACAAAGACACATCTTACGATGAATACATCTTACACTGGTACACTGGGTGAGAAGAGAAGATTGTGTAAGGATATGTATGATACGACATCATTTATACGAAGTTTAAGAACACACACAACAACATTATATACTGTTTGACATACCTGCCTATGGAAAAAAAGAGAAGAGAAGATTGTGTAAGGATATGTATGATACGACATCATTTATACAAAGTTTAAGAACACACACAACAACATTATATACTGTTTGACATACCTGCCTATGGAAAAAAAAGAATGAAAGCACGTGTGAGAACAATAAGCACCAGACTCAGGGTACTGGTAACCTCCAGGGGAGGGGAGGGGAGAATGGGATTTGGGAAGGTAACCCAGCAGCTCCTATAGGCTCTGGGATGTTTTATGTTTGGAAGTGTGTGTGTGGGGGGATTATGTCCTCCTCAAGACTGGGCCAGTGGGTTTAAAGTGGTAATAGTTGTTGAACCCTTGCTGCAGTGCCTGCACACAGTCGACTCTCCACAAGAGTCAGCTAATAATGAAGACTGTCTTGGCAGATTTTCTGCACATCTAAGAGCTGCCCATCCTTATCAGTCCTCCTCAAAGGCCACTCCTTGTAGTGGGTTAGAAATCTTGATTCTCCTTTGATCTTAGAATAGGATTTTTAAGTAATGCATGAATGAGCCGAAAGGCTCTTGAGTAGGGGACAAAAGTCCACAGATAAGTTTGGCAAAAGACATCTAATCAATTCTAATCACTGTTTAGGGATGGGATTGTGTACTTTGACTGTTCTAGGTTGCTGGTTTGATTCTGGCTTGAATGACTATTGACTATTTAACCTACTGATTGTTCTTAAGGTATCTTAAGGAAACTGCTTGAATGCTATTTAAATATACTAAGGAAATTGCTGTAGGAAGTATGTGGAAAAGAAAATGTTTAGTAAGGACAAGCTGTTTGTTGGTGAATTAACCTAGCTTTTTACAAATTACATTCTGGAATGTCACATTGTTAATTTACTGCTGTTACAAGTTTTACACTGCCTGTTTTTATGTCCTTCTTTGATGATTGAATCAACTGATTTTTCTTGTGAAACTTCCTTGTCTTGTCAATAAAAAGAAAGGCTTTTTTTTTTTCCCTTTTTGTCTCTTTTTACTGACCGGTAACGGGATCCCAACCCTCGGCGTCACGCCCGCACCGGGGACTGGCAACGGGATCGCAACCCTCAGTGTTGCCCCCGAACCGCGGCGGGGACCCGCAACGGGATCGCAACCCT